TAGGATTTCATTTGGTTATGTTGTTTGGTGTATTTCTGACTTTTGTGTTGCTGATCGAACTATCCTTCGATCATTCAAAAGTTGGGATTTCGATCACCTTCAAAGCGAATATAAGTGTGATGAAAAATGTTTTGTGCAATGAAAAATGTTATGTGCAACTATGATCGGTTTCTCAAGCTTGACCGGAGATTGTAAGTTTTGTACAAAATGATAAATGGTGAGAAGCCCAAGTTTTTAGTAGTTGTGAAGGACGTGAGCTGTGATTTGATAAATCTAGTAACGTTATATTTTCGAACAGCCTCTCGCTGCTGCTCCTTAACTTGTTCTGAATTGCAATTTTTGGTTATTGATGTCTTGTTTATGCTCTCCAGTAATTGCAATATGAACATCGACGCGAGGACATAAGTAAAATTACAAGGTCAATCAGTGTTAGTGAGAAATAGATGGTTTTTCTGCAAATAATCTTGTGGTAAACTAGGAAGCATGATCTAGGATCTTTCTGGTATGAACCGCATAGCATTGTTGCAGGCATGGTCGGTAAAATATAAGACGTTATTCGTAGTCCCGTCCGTTTTGTTACTTTTATGATCATTCGAGGCGGGGGTTTAACATAATTTCCTCATATGTTTATAATTTTCCTATGTTATGGTGTAGGTGCCCCGATTGCAGGCTCTGCGGTAAATCAGATTGAACAAGTTGTGGGCTATGTTAGTCTAGGGTATCCTTTCGGCATGCTTGCCTCAATCCTTTTCGGGAGACACCACAAAGCCGTACTACAATCCTCAAAACCCAAACTTTTCGTAATGGGGACACAGGACGGGTTCACGAGCGTGAAGCAGTTAAAGAACAAGCTAAAGCTCTGCAGCCGGTCTGTTGAAACGCACCTGATTGAAGGAGCAAGCCACTTCCAAATGGAAGGCCCTGCTTATGATGCACAGATGGTGAATCTTATCCTTGAATTCATTGCATCACTGTAGATAATCAACCATGTGTAATGGAGTTGTTCTATTTCAGAACTGATCGGAGCTTTCCGCACCGATCAGATTCTCTCCGTTCGCAATGTGCTGCAGTTGTATGTATATGCTAACTTGTAATCGTGTGTAATTTGCAGGAGCTTGGTTGGTTTACTATGTGCTTTCGGTGTCAAATTAAGCTGCTGTCTCAACAAATACGAGAGAAAGAGAGTCGTTAGATCAATCTTTACGGTCAAGTGTCATCCGGTACAACCCCGAAAACATAATTTTGAGGTTAAACTAAAACCGAAATGAAGCCTAACGCTTACACCAATCGTTCACTTGATTCGACGTCAAATCCGAATATGGCACAAATACAAGAAGCAGGAATATAACTGGATATTCCAAAACGTTGATCTTCGGATGCAAATCTGCCGTCTCTGGTCATTTTGTTGCCATTTGAACCCTCAACTGCCCGACCTTCACCCATTTCGTCATAGTGCCGTTTTCTCCATCCTGGTTCGTGGTCTAGTGATTGTCTCCAGCAAAATGCGGAAAAGAGTACATTGTAATTATGATCCTTTAATTTGTCACATCATGGCCCGGGATCTACCACATCTCGGGCCCGCTCCATCACCGTAGCACGGTATTGTTCACTTTGGGTTCCGACTATGTCCTCACGGTTTTGTTTTTGAAAACTCACATGAGGACTTCTTAGTGGGTCATCCATCATGGAAGTGCTCTCTCCCAAAAGGCCTCATGCTAAGTAGGGATGAGAATATACATATAAGGATCACTCTTCTGGACGATGTGGGATCTTACAATCCACTCTCTTAGGGGCTTGACATCCTTGTCGGCACACCACTGTCAGGGTTAGGCTCTGATACTCATCTGTCACATCTCGACCCGGGATCCATCACATCCCGGGCTCGCTCCATCACCGTAACACAATATTGTCCACTTTAGGTCTTGACTACGCCCTTACGATTTTGTTTTTGAAAACTCACGAGCAACTTCCTAGTGGATTACTCATCCTAGGAGTGGTCTGGCATCCTTCTCGTTTAACTTTGGAGTTCCAATGGAATCCGAAGCCAGTGAGCTCCCAAAAGATCTCATGGTAGGTAGGAATGAGAATATACATATAAGGATCACTCCCCTAGGAGATGTGGGATCTTACATAATTTGAACTCAATTGGAGCAATAGTCTCTCAACTAAGAATCCATTATCATTGGTCATTCAACTCATCAAAACATGCAGCTATGTTCCTTTAACTAAAAATTCAATTGTAATTATATATACTAAATCGCAATGGAAAAAACACTGTTCCTAAGCAATTGGTCCTTTCCTTCCTATTTTTCATGCTGCTACGGTAAAAAGACGAAAAGGCCTGTTGCACACGTGGTGTGCTAGCGAGATTTCTCTCCTCCACCGCTTCCTTCCTCTGCAGTCTGCACCGCTTGCTTTTTACTCCAATTCGAAACGAAACAAAAGCAAAGCTCATCTAAATGTTCACACCATCAAGACAAGAAATTTCGCCGGCAGATTTCTCCAGATGCTTCCAAACCCAAATCCATCTGCTCATCCAGATCAATTTCACCACCAAACTCCTCCACATCGTTTCAATCTTCAGCAAACCCAAAACTCATCACTCACTTTGTCAGTTATGCTATCACTCTGTTAACATGTTTTGTGGCCATCAGACGCCGGAAAACCCCTTGACCGGAACTCGGTTTGCCCATCCAGAAAGAAAGACTAGAAAGCTGCTTGAGGCAAAGCAGAAGCTACGGGAGGAAGGAGAGTGGACTTTTTTTTTAACACCCTAAGACTAAACGACGACGTCTTGCTCCCTTGCTCCGCTGTTGTTTCCTTATGTCATCTCTTCCACAGTAATAGTATTTTCATGGTCATCCTATCCTGAAATTTTATGATCTAACTCGACATTTTAGGTATGAAATTGAGAAGATTATCAAGTATAGTAGTATGTTCTAATGTTTAAGGATATATGTTCTACAAAATATGTTGGCAAGTTTTTCATGTTGCCTACCCAAGATAAAATTTATGGAACCGTCATGTATATATTTGCTATTAGTGTTCAGATTTTCATTTCATTTTTCCTTTTTTATTAATTTGTGGACCAATTTTAGTTGCTAATCATTGTTGTAAACCCAAACCGAAAAATCGAACGTGCCCAAGATCGAAACGAAAGCTCCAAAGATCGAGCCCCATGGCTTTGAGAAACCCACCAAGTCTTCCATTGTTGTGTGTGGAAAACTTGGTTCTGTCAATGCACTATCCGAAGGCGGTGCGAAGAATCGGAAGGGAGATAAGATCGAAGAGAAAGCGAAGGCGCCGAATGTGAAGAAGGCGGATGGTGCTGCATTTGTGAAGGTTGAGGACAAGGGGATTAGGAAACGGAGGACGCAAGAAAGAGGCGGGCGGAGAGGCACGAGCACGAGGGGCAGGAATGCAGCAAAGCCGACGAAGCCGCATGAGTATGGTGTCAATGAACTCAGTTCACATGACGGTTTAGACGCGTTGAAAGTGGGGAAGGAGAAGAAAGAAAACGGGAGGAAGAAGAAAGGCGCGGCAAGGTTCTTGATGTTGTGCCTTGGCCCGTTTATCAGTGCGGAAACGAGATTCAGATTACAACCTCATCAAATCACACTTAGTTGAACAGAATAAAATACAAGAAATAAAGACACCGAGAAATTTACGAGGTTCGGCAAAAACCTGCCTACGTCCCCGGAGAGATATTGCTCTTCACTATGAGAATAACAGTACAAGTGCACATGAGTTAAATCGACATAACCCAATCCCAAATCCCTTGTACACCCACTCATAGAATTTTCCCAAGAGCCTCATTCTACCCCAAGAGTTCTTTCACTAGAATACTTTTCACTCTAGCTCTCTTGATTTTCTCTCACCCATGCCCATGCTTTTCCATGGGAGAGCCGAATGCTCTCTCCCTTTGGATGCTCTCTGATGTCTTCTTAGGAGAGAGCCAAATCTTTCCCTCTCTCCCTTCGGTTCTTAGCAAAATAAATAGCAAAAGAAAAAGAATCAACTTTCCCTTTTTCCACAAACATCATCATTAAAGTAAAAGCAAGCATCATCATTATGTTTTTACTCATAATGATATCCACCAAACTTTTGCTTTTACTTTGTCTGCAATTTTCATGCAACCCACACCATGTGATATTTCCACCGAAAGCAAACACATGTCATTTCATTGTTGTTAACACATGACTCATAATTACTCACAAATGTATGAGCCAAAACACAACACTTGAAGCGAATGAAGCAGACCTCGAAGTGAAGAAGGAGAATTCGGAAGGTACCGAGGATGATACCGAGGAGAGCGAGGACGAGAAGATGAAGAAGCCGATGAGGGGTAGGAGGAGGCGGGAGGGTGAGAGGAAGGAGAGGGTGATGCGGAGCTCAACGGAAAGCGGAGGAGGGAGGGAAGGAGTCAGGAGAGCATTGGGAGGGGAAGAAGAGGGGTTGGGAGGCCACCGAAGTTACCGGAAACTTCAGCGGCTGGGGCGGGGAGCAGGAAGAGAGGGAGAGACAACGGGGAGGCGGATCAGGTGGGGAGTGCAGGGAGGCCGAGAAAGCGTACAAGGAGGTGAATGTCAGAATGTGGCCATTGTTGTAAGCTGTAAATTATTTTTTGTGCGGTGGTTTGGGTTAATTTCTGGTCTTGTTTTATTTCTGGTCTTGTTTTGTTGTTCATGGATCTAGTCGGAAGTGGACGCTTTTCTGCTCGACAAGGCAAGAGAAAACGTTACCCTAAGGGGCCAGACAAAAATTATTACTCGTATGAAAACTAAGGAGATTAGTCAAATCATATAATATTAACAATTTCCTTGCTCGATGGTCTGATAAGTTATGGACTCTTTTTTTTTGGGTTAAACGTGTGACTTATACTACATTTAATATAGTGTACATTCGTCTGACATATTATCGTTATCAAACTTCAAATGAGAATTATTCAAATATTTTTTTAGATGATGATTGATAGTTTGGCAAAAAAAAAAAAAATTGTTACATTAAAAAGATTTTAAAAATTCTGTTCTACAACTTTATTTTTGGTCTAATAGTGTACATCTGAAATTCTGTGTTTGATTTTCTCACTCCGGTCGTATCAAAAGAACGACATCCCTAACCGGAAATAAAAGATAAAATAAAAGAGCTGCTCAGCTGATACTATGTATTTCTTCTTTGATTGGATCACTGAAGACGGAGGTAGAGCAGTCCTGTTTGTGATCGACCATGAAAGAGTTACTGAGGCTTCCATCTTCTGTGCAATTTTTCCTGTCACTCTCAGTGTGCCAATGACTGCTGCTTTCAACTTCTCCCCTTTGGTTTGAGACTTGGACTTGGTCTTGGGGTTGCTTGTTAATCTTCATCCTATGTTTAATTAATCAAGTGGAACAAGGGTGAAAAAAGTAATTAAGCATCATAAAAAAGAAGATAGATTGAGAAAAAAATTAGGCATAACTGGGGATATTTTCCCTTTTTTTTTTATTAGTCATACCTGATTAATGAGATACAAAGACGATAATATATCTCCAGTTACATGTCAAAATCTTGTCAAGGAAAATTTGGGTGTGACTAGAGATATATTCAGTATCTATCTCACTCATGATATTTATGAGTCAAGAAGTTACACACATAGATGTGAATATATCCCTAGTTATATATAAGAATCTCGATAGTTCTACATCACCAAATCAAGAAAAATTTGGAAGTAATCAGGGAATATTTCGGTCTTTGTCTCACTCATCAAATGAATGATGACGCACAATGCGAAAATAAATTCCCGATTACTTGTCAAAATCTCACATGACTTACATCAGCAAAACAAGGAAAATGAATCAAACTTGATAAATAAATTAAAAAAAAGTGTATAACACTCTTACCTTCTTCTAAATTTTCTCTGCATCAGATAGAGCTTGAATTGAACATTGTCTAGGAGCTGGAAATATGCGTATCTCCATGTCCTCTTGAGAAGCAACGGGCAGCAGAATCCCAAGAACCCTACAACGAAACCGAGCACAACGGATAACCCAATCCATAGACTTTGATCCTCATCGTCGTCCAAATCCTGGCTGTTCTTATTCTCTCCATCATTCCCATTACTTGACAAGCACTCATTAGGAAGTGGGGGGCCGCAAAGTTTTGGGTTCCCTTCGAATGCAGAGGCGTTGAAGCTTTGAAGCTGTGTGCCGGTCGGTATTGATCCTTCAAGACTATTGTACGAGACATTGAAAGATTTCAAGAAACTAAGGCTTGCCAATGACAATGGGATTTTTCCGGAAAAATGGTTCACGGAAAGGTCTAATTCCTCCAAGTTCTTGAGGTTGGATATTTGCTCTGGGATTTCGCCCAAAAAGTTGTTCATGTTAAGATCCAGCTTTTGTATCAGCTGCAGCTGGCCTATCTCAATGGGAATTCTCCCACTAATGCTGTTGTTCTTCACGTCGATCACGCGAGGAAAGTAAGACAACTTGTACTGCAGAAATGTTGTGTTGGTCGAGGTGTAGATAGGCAATTCGAGAACATCATCGTTTGCTTGAGGAGAAGTTTCTTCGGATGACAACATGGGAAGTGTACAGAGTTCCTTTGGAAATTCACCCGAAATTCGATTGGCTCCCAATGCTAAAACAAAGAGCCTTGGAAGAGCTCCCAACCAACTAGGAATCGACCCAGTGATTCTGTTAAAACTCAGAATCAAGACCCCTAGCTTCTTGAGCTTCGATAACCATTGAGGTATTTCGCCATTCAGCTGACAGTTACTCAAATCTAGCATTTGAAGATTTTGGAACCCGCCGAAATTAGCCATTGCTTCATCACTGGGAATTTTCTCTCCATAAAAAGTTGTCGAAAGGATGAGTACCTTGAGACTTTTGCAGCGCATTAGTATCTTCATTGCCCCCGTGATGTTTGTCAATCGGCTGTAGCTGAGGGAGAGGAAGGACAAGGATTCCAGTGAAAGAATCTCGGGTTGTATATGTCCCTCTAGATTGTTTTTGCTCACTCGAATTGCTTTCAGGGACTTGCATGAGTAAAGACTTGTTGGCATGAAACCGGTGAAGTTGTTATGGCCAAGATCAAGTATCGTTAGTCTAGTAAGATTGGAGAAATTGAAGGTGGAGATGTTTCCTTCAAAAAGGTTGATTCCGAGATTCAGTTTGATAAGGTTTGTGCAGTTCATCAAAGATGGGGGCAGAGAGCCGTTTAGATTGTTAAATTGAAGGAACATGTGTTGTAATTTGGACAGCTTACCAATGTTTACAGGGAGAAAACCGCTCAATCCGTTGGACTGGAGGTCAAGGAATGCAAGGTTGGTGAGGTTGACAATTCTTTGGCTTATGGCACCGTGTAGTGAATTGCGAGGCAACGCAATTTCTTGAAGTGTGGTAGCATTGTAGATGTCATCCGGAAGAAGTCCCGAAAGGTTGTTGTAACCAGCACGAAACACCTGTAGTTTGGAACACGCACCTAGTCCGTGAGAAATATTGCCACTGAATTCATTGTGGGAGAAATCGAATAGTCTAATCGAGGGAGACAAACGAAGACAAATAGAGGACGGGATAGACCCCGAGAAGCTGTTGTCCGTGACGTTGAAACTAGTCAAATTTGAAGCACGTCCGAAGAATAAGGATGGAATTTCTCCATGGAAGTGATTTCTGGACAAATCAACAATCTCTACATTACTTGGAAGCTGAGAAAGTGAGAGTTCTCCGGAAAGACGGTTGTAGCTCAAGTCGAGGATCTCAAGGCGATTCAAGGACAAGAAGAATCTGGCTTCGAGTGAACCATAAAGTGAGTTGTGGGAGAGATTGAGGTGTGTAAGATGGGTGAGATTTCCAAGTGATGAGGGAGAAATAATACCCCCATTGAGGCCTTTGAATGGTAACTGCAATCGCGTGATGTGAAGGTCCTGATCACAAGTGATGCCTTCCCACTGGCAACAATCAGCTGAAGTAGTAGTCCAGTTCAATGGAGAAGAAGACAGAGAGTGAGAGAAGGTCGTGAGAGCTTTGCGTTCGCTTGGATCGCAAGCATCATTCATAAATATAATGGAATTGAATAAGAGGATGAAGAGGAAGCCATGAGAGATTGAATCATCCATCTTAGATTAAGATTCTCACAGGTTTGTTTACATATAATACGCATATACACGTATACATATAGGTCAAATGTGCACCATTTTGTGCAGTATATACATCTTCTGGAAGTCATGACAGCTACATATGAACATTGTTAAGTTGCAACTTGCAAGCTTTTCTATGGACCAAAATTATATAATATTATGGTTTTGTCTGCAACTTCCCAATATCTTCTAGGTCGCGTAAAGATTCTTTATGTGTTAAAGTCTATGGATTTGAAGAGGTTTTAATTGGTTTTGTTTTGTTTGATTTGACTTTAGTAGTAAACAACAAACAAAAGACTTCAAAGAGTCACTTACGGGCCATGAAATATTTTGAATTTTGATTAAATTTTCTTTGTAAAATGGGTTGGTTTGACTTCTAACAATGACTTTTCAAGTGCCTAAATGCATTTAGATTACAATTTTTTTTTCCTTTTTGGATGAGAGCAATAGAAGGAGACTCAAACTTAGGACTTTGAGTGTAACGGTAAATATTCTTAATCACTTCAGTTACAAGCTTTTTGCGAGATTAGATTTGTTTTAAAATATGGAAAGAGAGAAAAAAATGACTTTCTTTGACGCTACATAAAGGTAAGGGAAAATGAATTTCAAGTCAGTTTAATTTTTTCGGTTTTTGTCTTAAGAAAGGAGAAGAGTGAGACTCGAAGTTTTTGTGCAAGCGCAAGTAAAGTGCCCTACGACTAATATAAAATGGTCAACTACTTGTATATCAAGTAGCAATATCACTTTCAGCATCTGGCTATTTTTCAAAGTGTTTGAAAATGATTTCTATTGCGAATTTAACTTTTTATGTATGCTCTTTCATTTTCTTTTTAATCCAAATTTCTTATTAATGTTTGTAAGAAAAGGCAACAATTTATTCAACGGAGAAATTATAAATAATTATAGGGTAGATTACGGAAAACTTGATCAACAAGAATGCTGAAATTCTTGACAAATTAAATGGCAGCCTGCAAGTGAATTTCCGATTAACTATTTCAGTATTCTGTCATGACGAAATTCGAATACTTTTGCGTAGGAATTTAGTTAGGAAAGTTCGATGCATATTTAACCCTACAACGTTAATTCCCTTTCTTTTTTACTCAGTTGTTAGATTGTTTGTATGCAGCAGCAATGTGGTTAATAAGTCCTTTATTTCTCACAAAAAAATTACACTTGATCAACATATGAAGCGATCTTTAACATCGGAGAGGAACTGGAAATACGCATATCGCCATGACGTGATCAAAGCCAAAGAGCCACAAACTCCCCAAAATCCTACAATGAAACCAAGAGCAACTGAAATATAAAACCATGGAATATCATTCCCATTGCCATGCACATCTTCCATGTTCTTAGTTGCATTATCACTTGTGTTCTGCTGGCATTTGTTTGGAAGCGGGAAACCGCAAAGTCCCGGGTTGCCCTCAAAGGCAGTGGCATTGAAGCCTTGGATCTGAGTGCCTAACGGTACTTGTCCTTGGAGGTTATTGTATGCAACACTGAGTGAACCCAAGAAATGAAGACTTGATAGTGAAGCTGGGATTCCGCCTGACAGATGGTTTCTTGAGAGGTCTAATCTCTCCAAGTTTGTGAGGTTAGATACCTGGTCCGGAATGCTGCCAACGATGTTGTTGACGCTGAGATCCAGCTCGTGAAGGTTTTGCAACCGGCCTATCTCAATGGGAATATTGCCACTTAGACTGTTATTCCGGATGTAAATTGCTCGCGGCAAGTTGGACACATAGTTGTACTGCAGATTTGTGATAGATGCATTCGTTCGCTGCGTGTAGATAGGTAGTTCGACATCACCACTATCTGTTTGAGCGGCAGGCTTCTCGGATACAAGAGCTTGTAGTGAGAAAAGCTCCTTTGGAAGTCCCCCCGAAAGCGAGTTGTTGTTCAAGCTTATGAAGAAAAGACTGGGAAGACTTCCCAACCAACGAGGTATTGAGCCTGTGAGTCTGTTGGTAGACAAATCAAGGGCTTCGAGTTTCTTGAGCTTTGACATCCACACCGGAATATGACCTTTAAGTTGGCAGTTCGATATGCCAAAAAGGCGGAGATTTTGAAACCCAGAACCAATCATAGCATCACCATCCGGCAGTTCTTCACCTATAAAATTATGTGGAAGCATGACCACCCTGAGACTTTCGAAACGCATCAATAAATGCAGAGCGCCGGTGACATTGGTAAGTCTGTTGCTACCAAGCGAGAGGAAGGATAGGTATTTCAACGAAACAATCTCAGGCTGTATCTGTCCCTCTAGATTATTACCGCTCAGGCGAACTGCTTTCAGAAACTTGCATGAGTAAAGGCTTTTTGGCATGACACCGGAGAAGTAATTACTCCCGAGATCAAGCTTGATAAGTTGATCAAGTTTCGAAAAATTCAGCTCCGAGATATTTCCATCCAAATGGTTGAATCCAAGATTGAGTTCGATAAGGTTTGTGCAATTCATCAAAGATGGGGGCAGCGGACCTTCAAGATTGTTGAAATGAAGGAGCATGAGTTTTAATTTGGAGAGCTTCTCGATATGGAGAGGAAGTGCGCCACTCAAATGATTGAAGTAAATCTCTAGGATTGTGAGGCTGGTGAGATTGACAATGTTGTCACTAATGTGACCAAAAAGCTGATTGGAAGGTAACGAAATTTCGTGAAGCGCTTGAGCTTTGAAGAGATCACTAGGAAGAGTCCCAGAGAGAGTATTAAAGCCCGCACGAAAGATTTCCAATTTCAAACAGTTTCCTAGTCCGAGAGGAATTGAGCCATTGAAATCGTTGTGGGAGAAATCCAAGACTCTGACCGAAGAGGAACGAAGACAAATAGAGGAAGGTAATTTGCCAGTAAAATGATTTTTACTGACATTCAAGCTGCTCAAACTCCAGGCATGCTGGAGGAATGAAGATGGAATTGTTCCATTGAATTGATTGTTCGACAAATCCACTATTTGAATGTAACTAGATGATAGAAACAATGGGACTTCTCCGGAGAGAAGGTTATAGCTCAAATCAAGGATTTCAAGGCGACTCAAGGACAACAGAAGTCCAGCTTCAAAAGGACCGGAAAGCAGATTGTGGGAGAGATTGAGGTGCGAAAGATGTGTGAGGTTTCCAAGAGAGCAAGAAATGCCTCCTTGGAGCCGTTTAGAGGGCAACAAAACATGTGTTACCCTACCATTGGCATCACAAGCGATGCCTTCCCAGTGACAACAATCACTGGAAGACCAATTTAAATGAGAAGAAGACATATTGAAAGATGACAAAAGAGAGTTGTGATCTGCCTTGTTGCAAGCATCGTTTGTAGAAATGAAAGTAGAGAACACAAAAAACAGGAAGAGGACTCCACAAGGCATTATATGACTAGGTTCCGGCATGGCGTTTTTCGCTATGGCTGTACCGGGGTTATATTGCTCACGTCGTTTCGGGTGTATATATACACTCATTTGTTTGAACCAAAGGAGGTGGAAATTAACAAGGGAAAGAAGGTAATTAGGAAATGGTTTGAATTCTTGTGCGCAGTGTTTGAATTTCTCAGTCTTTGCTTTATAGACACTTTGAGTGAAATGGGACGTCACTAAACAATGGAGGGTCTAATCATGGGTTGGCAGCAACGTAATAGAGGGTCTAATTATTGGTTTACTTTAAGTTACGATCAAGGTAAATTAATGGAGCATTTTGTTTATTTGTTTATCTTTTTTGCTGGGTAAGATGCTTTATATATGTTACAGAACACTCACGCAAAGTAGGAAAAACGGCAGTATCTGTTGAGAGCAAGTCTCACGTTGATGACACGCACTCCAGGTTATCCCGTTAGGTTGTCCACGTGTTAGGCTTAAAAATTCGTCACACGTGGAAGACGTGTTGAGAATAAGTCTCATATTGATAGGAGGATGAATCTTGCATGGTGTAACCTCAACTTCTTCAGTACCTCGAGACATCATCAAATTCTAAACCAAGACATTTGTTTGCCAAAAAATTTAACAGAAGAAACTGTTAAATTGCAAATTTATAATAATTGACTAGCCGATGAGCACACACTCTATGTGTGTGAACAATTTCATTTTATTTTTTGTTTTTTTATTAAGGAGTGTGAATAGTTTTTAAAATTTTAAAAAGAGTATGAAAAAATGATGGTGTGACAATTTCTCTTAATAAGTGCATATTTTATCTTAATATTACATAATTACTGTTTTTTGTCTTTCTAATTTAAATATTGTGTATCAAAAGTGAGGGTAAAATAAAAAAAATAAGGATATGATTGTCATTTTGTCAAAAGATACAAAATTACTATTTTGCCCTCCTCATGTCAATATTGTGTATTCAAAAGTAAGGGGAAATTTGAAAAAATGAGGAAAAAAAGTTGACAATGGCTCTTCTCTTAATAGAATATAAAAGATATGGAGAATGCTTTGAACTTGCACTCACATGCCACTTACCTAAGTTGATTTTTCTTCTCTTATCAGATTAGACTCAATGGTTTACTTAAGTCATGATCAAGGTAAATTAATGGAGCATTTTGTTTATCTTTTTTGCTGGGTAAGATGCTTTATAATATGTTACAGAACACTCACGCAGGGTAGGAAAAACGACAGTACCTGTTTAGAGTAAGCCTCACGTTGATGAAATGATGGACTTTGCTTGGGTTTATAAGTAAATTGGGCTACTCTTCATATTGCCAATTGGTTTTATATATGGTGGAACTTCAACTTCTTCATGGTATTAGAGTAAGTTGTCCCACGTGTGAAATCAAACGGTCACACACGCTCCACGTCATCCCGTTATGTTGTCCACGTATTCGGCTTAAAAATTCGTCTCTTATGGGGGACGTGTTGAGAATAAGTTACACATTAATAGGAGGAGGAACCTTGCGTGGTGTAACCTCAACTTCTTTAGTACCTCGAGACATCATCAAATTGTAAACCAAGACATTTGTTTGCCAAAAAATTTAACAGGAGAAACTATTAAATTGCAAATCTATAATAATTGATATGGAAAATGCTTTGAACTTGCACTCCCATGCCACTTACCTAAGTTGATTTTTCTTCTCTTATCAAATTGGACTCAATGGTTTACTTAAGTCATGATCAAGGTAAATTAATGGAGCATTTTGTTTATCTTTTTTTTGGGTAAGATGCTTTATAATATGTTACAGAACATTCACGCAGAGTAGGAAAAACAATAGTACCTGTTGAGAGTAAGTCTCACGTTGATGAAATGATGGATCTTGCATGGGCTTATAAGTAAATTGGGTTACTATTCATATTGCCAATTGGTTTTATGGTAAAACCTCAACTTCTTCATGGTATCTGAGTAAGTTGTCCCACGTGTGAAATCAAACGATCACATGTGACACGCCCCGATCTTGATGTCCTCGGGACATCAAGATGGTCACGTGCTGGCCGATACCCGAAGGGTGACGAAAGCCATTTGATTTAAGCAGAAGCTGAGAAATATACTAAAACAGGCAATAGGGACTAATAACACCAAAATAAAGTTCAACTGCTAATTAATAAAATTATGGTCATACACGTAAGTTCAGAGCATACATCTAATACAGATTACAAGCAGAATTTAAGATAGAGAAGTGTTATATTACAATAGGTGTCGAAGCAGAGAAGATATAACACTAAATCACTGGTAGGGAAATGCCTCGTAGTTCATGTCATAATCCTTGTTCTAGGTCCTGAAGGGGGCACAAAACAAACATGAGTGGACCAATTTGATATATATAATAAAACAGTTATTAACATACTAACCCCCAGATTTTATGAAAACACATATATAATAATAAACATAGGTTTTTCCAAAACCTAACATGTTGTGCAGTGTCTTAAATCATAACTTGTATATATAATAATCACTAGTGAATTGTTCGATAACCCCCAGGCCCCATGCCGACTCCCTGTCTTTGAGCAAATAGTTAGAGGAAAATACACTTCAGGCCTCATGCCGGCTCCTCGTCCCTGTGCTAAATAGCCAGAGGAAACACGCTACAGGCCCTATGCCAACATCAAACTGTCGTCCGGGACGGACCGGAATCTATCCATACGTCCCGTAGCGGAAAGTACCACTAGGCAAGTACAAAACCATTGAACATATATATTTTGAAAAGCAACTTCATAGTATAAAGTCATCCATCATCTATACTATAAAGAGGTGTTCGAAACATGTTCTAAATATCATATCGTCATTCATCGGATATTCTATCAGAACACGGGTTATAGGAAAAATAGTAATAATTCAAACTAGCCTCACTAAGCATGTTATCTCACAAAACATTTCATAAAACATAATCATTAAATCATGTTTTTCATGTATGCATTTCTACTATTAAAACATGCATTTTTAGAAGGGGTCCACTCACCGTACACCGATGGTGCAAAGTTGTACCAAAAAGGAATAACAAAATCACCGCTAATAATTGCACCTATTCACATAAAGGGTACCTTTAGTTAAACTCTATTCAAACAATTGAATTTGGGAAAACGGACTTAAAAACAGGTCCATGACGTCAAAATTAGCCTAGGAGAGGTCTCGGACGAAATCCCGAAAAGTCAACTTTAAAAGTTAACATTGATCGTTGACCGGTCAAAGTCAACGTTGACCGTTGATCGAGTCAACGGTCAACTAGGTCAATGGTCAAACTAGGCTTGGATTTAGGTTGAGCCGATTGGGCCCTAAAGGTTTTGGGTCTAAAGGGTTTAAGGGAATAAGTTTAGGATGATGGGTTTTGGGTTTAGGGTTAATATGTAGGCTAGGTTATAGGGGAAATGGGTTAGGAGTTCTCTGGGCTCAGGCCCAGACCTACACAGCCCAAGGGCCTCATTACAAAGGGTTTAGGGTTTAGTTAACGGGCCAAGGGCCCTAAAGGAAACGGCCCGAAGACCTTTTTGGGTTTTAAGGAAATAAAACAAAAACAAACTAAAATAAAAAGGAAACGGGTTGGGCTACTGGGCGGAAACCAAAACGGGCTTAAGGCTCGTGGGTTGAGAAACCGCCTGAAAGGCCTTGGGTGCACCGGGGAAGAACGCCGGAGCTTCTACAGCTCCGGCCAACCATAAATGGACATCCTAGACCCCGATCTAGGTACCAAAATGAAGCACAAGATGAGAAGAGCAATTTTATACCTTCCTTAACGGTCGGAGATGACCGAAAAATCCCTCGACTCACACGGGTTCACCGAAGATGGGTGTGCCTTCACCCGAGTCGATCTCGTTCTAAAACCTTGATAAAAACGAGATAAAACTCATTAAATCCCTTCCAAGCTTCACACTGGAACGAAAAGGAAGACAAATCCAAACTTACCTTACCGGAAAAATGTCGAAGAGTTCCTGGGTTCCACTGCTCCTCGCAGCTACGGGAGAGAAAGAGAGAAAGACAAGGCTGATGATGATGGTGGTGTCTTCCTCGCAGGTGATGCAGCTGGGTGTGTGTGTGTGCTCACAGTGCAAGAGAAAGAGAGAGAAAGAAAGAAAGTGCAGAGAAAGATAGCTGAAAGAAGAAAAGAGGAAAGGGGTCACGGGTAGGGGAGAGAGAGAGAAGAACGTGAGGGGTGTTGGGAAGCTGACACCTAGCAGCTTGAGGGTGAAGAAAATCCCACTTAAGATCTGGATTGGGTAAGAAAATTAGGACTAAATTGATAAATTTAATAACATTTTGGGGATAATTACATAATTATATTTTTATAAATGGGGGTGGGTGTAACAATCTACCCCCCTTATAAAAATTTCGTCCCTGAAATTTACGTCCTATAAAATTTTCCCTTGAGCTTAAGTGGCATACGGCGGTCACACAACACGCCGGATGCACTCTTCCACTTCATCCATCCAGCTTGTATTTTATGGTTGAGGTCTCCATCTAATTCTCCGTTCTTTTGCAAGATAGATCTTAGGTAGCGAAAGCGGTCGCTTTTGGTATTTCATGATCTCCGATCCTCACCCCTAACTCATTTTGGACTCCATTTGCACTGAACTTGCACTCCATATATTCTGTCTTTGATCGGCTTAGGCGAAGACCTTTAGATTCCAACACTTTTCTTCAAAGGTTAAGCTTCGCATTTACCCCTCCCTGAGTTTCATCTATCAACACTATATCGTATGTGAAAAGCATACACCAAGGAATATCATCATGAATATGTCCTGTTAACTCATCCATTACCAATGCAAAAAGGTAAGAACTTAAGAATGAATCTTGATGTAACCCTATAGTTATGGGGAAGCTTTCGGTTTGTCTTTCATGAGTTCTTACGACAGTCTTTGCTCCATCATATATATCCTTTATAGCTTGGATATATGCTACTCGTACTACTTTCTTCTCTAAAATCCTCCAAAGAATGTCTCTTGGGACCCTATCATACGTTTTTTCCCATCTCTAT